GAAAGGACGTTCATGTTCCCTTCTTTCGGATGTCTAGAAAAATCTGTTTCAGGGCCTGAGACATCTCAATTTTTTACATTTGTATTTCCCCTTTTAATGACTCTTAATAAGAATTGCTTTAGATGAAAAGCTGAGGTGTATGGTTTGACTTCCTAACACCTGGTTAGTGTATTGACTACCTATGTTAGAATCATTTTACCTATAAATCTAGGCCTTTTTCCATAGAAAGGTTTCATAAAATATTGTCAGGTTTCCATAGATTTCCACAGCAAGAAAACCCAATGTATAGCAATTGAAGTGTAAAAAAACATTAAATTGCTATATTGCTATCTATCTGACCAAGGTCCTATGAAAACTCTGGATATTAAAGCTTGAAGAACCTTCTCTGGTTGGCAATACTCTGTGCATACTGCCACACATCGTTGCTTAGAAAAGCTAGAGCTGTTCACAACTCCACCGGGAGAAGACAAGTGGAAGCTTTGCACTTGGAACTTTTCTGGGCTCTGCCCCATATGCCTCTTCCCATGGCTGATTTTAATCATATCCTTTTATTGTAGTAAACTTTCACCATGAGTATAACAGCTTTCAGTGAGTACTATGAATCCTTTGAGTGAATTATCAAACCTGAGGTCTGGGGGACCCCTGAACATGCAATGATGTCAGAAGTGAGTGTGATCTTGGAAGATCCCAAATTCTGCATCACTGGATGGGTTTAACAGCAGATTGGAGATGACAGAAGAGTTAATAAAAATAGATTAACAAAAAATTCCCAACTGAAGAATACAGAGAAAAAAATATTTTAAAAATTAAGAGAACATCAGTATCATATAGTACAATAGCAAATGATAAAAATGCATGTGGAGACTCATAGAGGACAGAGAAATCTGGGCCAGAAAAAAATATTTTAAAAAATAGGTAAAAATTCCCTAGGTTTAGTAAAAGATATATATATATATATATATATATATATATATATGCAGATTCAAAAGCTGAAAGAACCAGAGGAAGAAGAAAACACAAAGAAAGCCACATTGAGGCATACTATAGTCAAACTACTGAAAAATCAAAGAGAAAGATCTTGAAAGCAGTCAAGAAAAACTGGCACCTAACATACAGAATATTAATACCCATTGAGTCTAATCAGAATTAATGGAGGCCAAAAAACACAGGAATGACAGCTTTAAAGTGCTGAAAGAAAGAAAAAAAAGCCCTACCAACCTAGAATTCTACATCCAGCAAACGTATCTTTCAAGAATAAAGGTGAAACAAAGACATCTTAAGCAAAAATTTAGAGAATCAATCACTGGCAGATAAGCACCACAAGGAATGCTACATGAAGCTTCTTAGGTTAAAGAGAAATGATACCAGCTAGAAACTCAGATCTTTAGGAATGAAATGGATAGATACAAAACATTATTTTTCCTCTCAATTATTTAAAATGAGTATCTAAAACAAAACACAAATGTATGGTGGAGTTTAAAGGAATGTAGGTGTAGTAAAATACATGAAGTAGCATAAAGTACAGAGTATGGGGAGTAAATGGACTTACAAGGTCTAGAGGAAATACTATGATTACCTTAGACTACAAAAAATTAAGAATATATGATTATTTTCACTAATTAGAGAAAAGGGGGTTAAAAATGGTACAAAGAAGTAGAGTTAAAAAGTAAATAGAGAAAATAAAATCTAAAAGATTAATCATAGAATGCAGGAAAGGAAGGGCAAAAGAACAAATATAAATGAAACACACAGAAAACCAACAGTAAAATGATGGACCTAGCCAGGCACAGGGGCTCACGCCTGTAATGCCAGCACTTTGGGAAGCCGAGGCGGGCAAATCATGAGGTCAGGAGTTCAAGACCAGCCTGGCCAACAAGGTGAAACCCTGTCTCTACTAAAAATACAAAAAATTAGCTGGGCATAGTGGCAGGTGCCTGAAATCCCAGGGAGGTTGAGGCAGAAGAATTGCTTGAACCTCAAAGACAGAAGTAGCAGTGAGTTGAGATCGTACCACTACACTGAAGTCCTGGTGACAGAGTAAGATTCTGTCTTAAAAAAAAAAAAAAAGATGGATCTAAATCCAGCAATAATTACATTAAATATTAAGTGGGAGAAATTATCCAAGTAAAAGGCTATAATTATGAAAATCAATAAAAAGGCCTAACTATATGTTGTTTGCAGTTGGATAAAAAGAACTTTAAATAAAAATATAGAGAATAAAAAGTAAACAAATAGAAAAAGATAACCACAGAAACAGAAAGCATAAAAAGGTGGAAACGAGTATAACTGTTTGAGATAAGGTAGACTTCAAGACAAAAGGATATTACTAAAGATAAAGAGATAAATTTCATAATGATAAAAGGGCCAATTTGTCAGAAAGACAAAATAATCATAAATGAATATGCATCCAATGAGAAAGCTTTAAAATACATTAAGCAAAATTTCACAGAATTAAAGGGGAAGTAGACAAATCCACAATAAAATGTAGAGTTAAGCAATCCATTTTTTAGCAACTGATGGAACACGCAGACCAAAACAAAACAAAAAAATCAATAAAGACAAAGATGATCTGAACAACACCATCAACTATTTTGACCTCACTGACATCTATAGAGAACCATACCTACTGAAATTCCACAGAACATATTCTCTGATCGCGATAAAATTTAATCACTATCAAGTATCTTTTAAAAACTCCAAATATTTTTATGTTTAACACTTCATGGGATAAAGAGAAATCACAAATCAACTCAGAAGATTTTAAAAACTCAACAAAAGTGAACATAATACTTAAAAAAATTATGGAATGCAGGTCAAGCAGTGTTTAGAGAAAATTTTATATCTGTAAATGCTTGTATAATAAAAAGCAAAGAATCACTAAGTGCAGTGGCTCATGCCTGTCATCCCAACATTTTGGGAGGCCAAGGTGGGAGCATCGTTTGAGGCCAGGAATTCAACACTAGCCTGAGGAACATAGCAAGGCCTCACTGGAACAACAAAAACAACAAATGAAAATCAGCTGGGCATGGTGGCTGACGCCCACCATGGGCAGGTCACTTGAGCCCAAAAGTTTCAGACCAGCTTGGGTAGCATAGTCATACCCTGTCTCTACAAAGAAATAATGAAATTGGTCAACGTGGCATGTGCTGTGCCTATGGTTATAACTACTTGGGAGGCTCAGGTGGGAGGATCACTTTTGCCCAGGAGTTTAAGGCTGCAGTAAGCCATGATTGTGCCACTGCACTCCAGCCAAGGTAGTAGATGTATACCCCGTCTCAAGGAGAAAGAAAAGAAAGAGAAAGGGAGGGAGGGGAAGGAAATAGGAAGGAAGGAAGGAAGGAAGGGAGGGAGGGAGGGAGGGAGGGAAGGAAGGGGGAGGGAGGGGGGAGGGAGGGAAGGAGGGGGGAGGGAGGGGGAAGGGAGGGAGGAGGATAGGTAGGGAGGAGGATAGGTAGGGAGAGAGGCAGGGAGGGAGGGAGACAGGGAGGGAGACAGGGAGGGAGGGAGGCAGGGAGAGAGGCAGGGAGGGAGGGAGGCAGGCTAAGTTTCACATTCTGCTGCTGCTCATATATGAAAAGCATAGCAATAAGGTCACCTTCTCCTTGTCCTCTTCCCATCCCGAATCCCTATGGGCAAAGAACCAACCATGTGGCTCCAGGCACAGGAATAAGTTTAGTCCATACTTCCAAACACATCTGTACCTTCCATTCATTATGTACCCACATCTGTTTGAATACAGGGATAAAATAATGTCTTCTAAAACATTGGCAGTTAGCAATTACTTGTTGTCTCTTACCACCACATATAAATTCCCTCAAATTATAAATGCTTTAATCGTAACCAAGTACTATCAAAAGTAACTGTAAATTCATCATCTTTAGATCTTTCACAAAAATAATCACGCATATTAAAGCTATCAATATTATTTTTTGAATACACATAATTTTGAGGAAAAATGCATTTCCTATGGGATTAATTCACCAAGCAAAGAAATCCCTGTAAGCAAAAATCCTTTCACATTCTCATCCATTGATGACTGCTTAGCATCTTCTCTTTCATTTAAACCAAACATAGCCTACATCATCATTTCATGCCTTTTCTCTCTAATTAGATAAATCTGATTGCTCTTCTTTCTCTACAGATTAAAAGGTTGGGATGTTTTGTTTTTCCAGTATTTCAGAATTCTAATCCTCAGAGCACTATGATGACAGGAAGAATTGTGTGATTTAGAGAAAGCAGGCTCCAAGGAAATATAGCTAAAGAAAGAGGCCACGCACCATGGTGGCTCATGCCTGTAACTGTAGCACTTTGGAAGGCCAAGGTGGGAGGATCACTTGAGCCCAGGAGATTGAGACCAGCTGGGCAACATAAGAAGACCCCTGTCTCTACAAGAAATCAAAAAAACAGCCAGGTGTGGTGGCATGTGCCTGTCATCCCAGATATTTTGGAGGCTGAGGTGGGAAGATCATTGCAGTAAGCTGTGGTTGTGACACACCATCCTCGGTGTGTGTAATCCGATCCATCCTTAGTGACAGATGAAGACCCGGTCTCAAAAAGACAAGACAAGAGCACACACAATAAGGATATTCTTTTTTTTTTTGAGACAGAGTCTTGCTCTGTCGCCAGGCGCCAGGCTGGAGTGCAGTGGCATGATCTCGGCTCACTGCAACCTCCGCCTCCCGGGTTCAAGCAATTCTCCTGCCTCAGACTCCCGAGTAGCTAGGACTACAGGCACGCGCCACCATGCCCAGCTAATTTTTGTATTTTTTTAGTAGAGACGGGGTTTCACCATGTTGGCCAGGATGGTCTCGATCTCTTGACCTTGCGATCCACCCGCCTTGGCCTCCCAAAGTGCTGGGATTACAGGCGTGAGCCACCGCGCCCGGCAGGATATTCTTTTAAATATAAACACATAGATTCCTATAAAAGATAGTGGTCTACTCCAGCTATTTCCAGCTCATGACACTGACCTGGGCTCTTGTAAGCAACCCCATTCTTACCTAGATTGGAGGATGCTCGCCCTTCTGCAGCCCGGTCCTTGAGATCCTCAGCAATGCCCAGCTGCTGCTCATGGTACTGTTTAGCCCTCTCCAAATCCTGCATGCACCTGGCAGCATGGCCTAGTCCAGCATAGGCTCGCATCTCAATGGCCTTCTCCATCAACTCCTGTGCCAGCTCCAGGACATAGTTGTGGTAAGACATGGCCTTGTCAAAGTTCCTCCGGTAGTGATAGGCACTGCCCAGGTTGCTGTAAGCCCGGGCCTCTTCTCGCTTGTTCCCCAGGTCCTTGGCTATCTTCAGATGCTGCTCATGGCACTGCACAGCATTCTCAAAGTCACCCATGGCAATATACACAGCTCCCATGTTGCCAAGTTCTCGGGCTTCAGAAAGTTCATCTTTGGATTGCTTGGCAAGAAGAACACACTGCTTGTGACTGGCCAGTGCATTGGGGTAGTCTCCAATGGCTGTGTACACATGGCCCAGACTGCTCAAGGCTGATGAAGCTGCCTGGAAAGAAAAGGATAATGTGGAAAAATGAAAACACACCAGAATGGTTTTTGTATGTTTTGGCAAATAAAATTTTACAGGTTGCTTGTAACTATCCGATCCAATTCCTAATGGTACTTCTGTCAGTTTTCCACACCTATGCAGAACTGATAAAGAACACATCCAAACAGCAAGTTCCTAATAAAAGACAATGGTGCTTTAATCAGTAACTTTCTATACCTAATCTCATAGAAACAAGGTGTATTACATATAACCTTCATTTTAAACACTTGACATTTATAATATTAATTATGATATTACATCTCTGTTAATACTAACCTCTGTGGTATGAGAAAATGTTTAAGAAAATTGAAATTAATTACTACATATAACAGACTATAGGAAAGTCATAGGAGAAATCCATGCTTGGCTTTTTACACTCCTGGGTATTTCTCTATTCTTGTCTTCTTCCACAGTAAACAGATATATTAATGGTAAGAGAGATGTTTACCATGTTGACTAATGATTCTGTGACCCAAAATTCACTGGAGAGGGTCCTGCTCTCTATTCTTTGTTCCTTCAAGGTAACTTCATCACTGTTGGTTACCGTGAAGGACTTATATTTGGATGAGTCTCAGAGAAAAAAAAAACAGGTGAGTTACAATGTACTGTACCTCTGAGTGGGGTGGTCTCCATTAATCCTCACACCCCCTTCTCAGGCTCACACTGGCTCTTCAAGTATTTCTTTTCTTGCCTAGAAGTGCTTCTAACTCCAGCCTCTCTGTGCAGAGAGATGCTGTCTTCCTAGTTCTCCTTTCACATTGCTTGTCACCCATTCATTTTCGGTGTTTTTTTTTTTTTTTTGGTCCAGGAAAAAGTACACAAACCTTTTTGTCTTAAAGGCTTTAATGAAACTAACTCTATGCTGGTATAGTGAACCACAAAGGGACAACAAAAGCACAGGAGATGTTACATGGTTTCTAAAATCTTAACAAATACTTGCAGTCTTAGATTCTAGTCTTCGGTTTCTGATTTCTTTGTAGATATAAAAGGGAAGTTATGCTGGGATTTTTCTGTCCTTCTTTTTATCCTAAAAGTTGGAAGCTTGCCTACCCTTTCTTTCCTTCATCACCTGCCTATGGCTAGAGCCATGTGGCTTCCTCTCTTCACGATGCTCCCTCCCTCTTAGTAACGTGAGCATGTGATCCTGCCAGAACAAAGGGTGTACTCTGTTACACATAGGCAAGTAATTTTCCTAAGGGTCTCCCAGCTAGGGAATAGCAATTAGGGGACGCTGCCCCTCCTGGAGTAAGGGCATTTCTTTATGAGACGTGTTCTATGTCTGTATACTTCGGAACACTTTTATTAATATTTTATAGATATGAGTGATTTTCTACCCTATTTTCTTTGTCTGTAAAGTAGCAGTTCTTGATCAAAATGACTGAGGAAACTTTTTTTATGGTGCTTGCAAATAGTGTATTGGCAAAAAAAAAAAAAAGTCCCATATTGTTTTAAGTTGCTTTTATCATTTTACAGATGTTCTAACAAAAAGATTTAGAAAATAGAGAGGAAATAAATATATTAGAAATTTGCTTTTCTGTTTTTTTTCTGAGTTGTGGAGAGCAGAAACAATTCCACGAAAGTCACAATGCTGCAGCAATGTGCTTCTCGCAGAAGCAGCAAAGAAGTCACCAAAAGCATGTCACTTGGACGTGTAAAGGCCTCAGGTTCCTACTTTGTGAGCCTCTTTGAGACTGAGGTTAGGACTTCATGTCAACACATTGTACATGGGACTTTCTATTGCTCCCACCTCCACCCACCCCCATGCCGCAAAGCTCCTTTTCTCCTTTGCTGCAGGCCCAGAGACTCGGCCTCTGTCCTCTACTTGAGTAGTTGGCCCTCCCTACCTTATTCTTTGTGGGTTCTTCTCCACCCAGGCCTGGCTAGGGAGGACATAACCCACTCCCATCCAAAACTCTTTGTTACCCTCAAAGCAAAACATACAGGCTCTTTGACTGTGGAGCTAGTGTAGTTTAGAATCAGATATACCTTGTTCAGAATTGCAATGCCCTTTAATAGCTCTGAGAGCTTTCGCAACTTAACTTCTCTGATCCTTGCTTTTCCAGACATTTTTAGGCCCAAGCAGCAAGCCAGAAACAGAGTATTTTCAAACCTAGCCATGAGCCCCTGTCAAATATGTAAACCATAAATAATTCACTAGATAATTCCAAATAGTAGATCTGGTTGAGGCAATGAGCCTTTGAACACTGCATGGGATGGATTTATAAGTCTCGGGGTAGGCACAACACCCCAGGCGTCGCTGTTCTCAGGAACTTCTGGTTTATGGCAACTCCAAATGATAGCCCTGGGATCTTCTGCTTCTGGTTCTTCATTTCTCTAAATGCCAGGGAGACATAGGAGCAGCTTACTAAAGCTCTCTGAACATAAGGAAGGGAATATTTAGGGATTTCCCCTCTGGGGTGTGGGAGAAAAAGGGAAAGAATATTACATTGGCTCTTTCCTGGCATCCTCCAGTTACCAGGCAGTGCTGTGAGACTAGCACTCTTCATGACGGGTGTCCTGGAAGTCAGTATCTCTAGAAAGAATGTAATGTATGAAGCACATATCATAGCCTCTGAAATTAGAGAGGCAGTTTGATATAATATAAGAATGGAATAGGATTTAGCATCAGAGGCCCTGGCTAGGTAACACTAATAGGTCGTTCACTTCTTCACTCTTGTTTTCTTTATATGTAAAATGTTGCTAAGACAATACTGTACATACTTCACAGGGCTGGGATGGCATCAGATGAAGCAGTGCATGTGAGTGCCTTCAGTAAACTATAAAGTGCTCTGTGAATGCATCACTAAGGTGTGGATGGATGTTTTATGACTGCAAGCTGCCTGGGCTGAGTTCTGTTACCAACCAAAAGCTAGTAATGGCAACTGAAAACATCAATCATTATGACCAAACATCTATATTCCTATCAGTTGCTACAGGAAATAAAGTCCAGTGTTTTACAGCCCCTGGGCAAATAACATGTGATGATATTTATCAGCTAAGTGAATTACAAATTAATCACTTGTCTTTGTTCCTGTTCCTGTAGAATAAGCTTAGATCTGAAACATGGTTTCAGGCTGTTAATGAGAATCTGAAGAACCACTATCTATGGGGAATCATAGGCCCCACCTCAAGCAGATGCTGCATTTGCCACTAAGGTTCATGCTGCCTTTGTATATTAATCTCTTTGAGACTTCTGTGCTAGAATAGTAGCAGCTGCTTCCCACAGTGGAAACATTCTGGAACATCTGTATTTGAATACTAAAATGCATACAAACAGTTATGCTAACAAACTATCTGGTTGGAATAAGACAACACTTTTCTCTTTCTACAAGATATAAATTACTCATGTTCTTGCCAAAGTATAATTTCCAGCTGCAGATTTGGCACAGAGGAGTCAGTCACCTCTTGCTCTGTGACCTGAATATTTGCAGAAGAATTGCATCTGACAAGTTAGTTTCATGGGACATAAAGCTAGAGTAAGAAATCTGTTCCCATTTCTTCAAACCACCTTTAAAGGTTTTTAGTTTGAGAAATAAAGTTTAAACTACCCAAACTATAACCACCTCGATGACACTACCATTAAATATTATGCTGAAGATTTAAACATGTTTTCCTTCCATCTAGCAAGTTTTTCCCTTACCATATGTATTTTTTATAAGGGTTATATCTTGTGGGAGGATTACATGCCCATAGTGTTATACAGAGAATATTCAATATAATTGCTGATTGATTCACTGCATGTCACTGGAAAAATGGGAAACGTACCTGCAGCTAGTACCAGAAATATTATATTTCTTTTTTACTGCCCAAGTCCACGCACTCCATGTACTATCTGCCAGTTCAGTGCCCATAAACCCAAAGTCCTAAACTACCTACAACCCAATAGGCAGAGATACATAGACGAATAAGGATAGACTCTGGAATTAGGCATGTACAAATTCAAATAACACACTGTGATAACACACATTTGTAACATACTTGAGACTTAGTTTACTCATCTGTAAAATGGAAATATTGATATCTCACAGAGCCTTCACAAGTACTAAATAACACAGTATTTATAATGACCTTAATTCAGAACTCAGCAATAAGATGCTCAAAAATTTTAATTTTAGTTTCTTCTCCTATCCCAACCAAGGTAATACTTAGCTTTTATTCATTTCAAAGATGTGATAGAAGATGACCAGAAAATAAACCATAAGGTTATGTCCCCACAACTAAAAAGACAACACAAGAAGCTTGCCCCACTGATGGTCAAAAATGTCATCGATTTCATATACTGAAGACCAGCATATTATTCATACTGCTCTTCTGCAAATATGTGCATAAGAAAATCCACCCTTGTAGCACAGTACTACTGGTGGGTACCTGTAATCCCAGTTACTTAGGTGGCTGAGGCAGGAAGACTGTTTGGGCCAGGAGATTGAGGCTACAGGGAGTTATGATCATGCCACTGTACTCCCAGTCTGGATGACAGAGCAAAACCCCATCTCTTAAGGGAAAAAAAAGACAGAAATCCACCCTTTACTTAGAGACATTTTAGAATCCAACACATATTCAATACATAATCCAACACATATACAATTAGGTGTATATGCAACACATAATCTTGGTAAATGCACTATACTTCCAGCAGTGAAAGTTTAGCCAGGCATTGGAGTGTTTGGGGTCTGTTGGTTGGTTCCTTTGTTCATTCATTCTTGCATTCAAGAAAATTATCTAGGCCTAGAAATAAATTGATGTACATATAGCCAACTGATTTTTGACAAAGTTGCCAAGAAGATACATTGGAGAAAAAGGTAGTCTCTTAAAAAAAAAAAGTGCTGGGAAGATTGAATATTTATATGCGGAAAGACAAGACTAGACTCCTTCTCTCACCATATACAAAAATCAAACAGATTTAATACATTCAAAAATAGATTAAAGGAGTTGCTGGCAAGATGGCTGAATAGGCTACG